CAATGCCATATAATGCAACCAAGACATTCAATTGTGACACTGCATCTATACTGCTTCGTGTAAATGGAAATTTCAGGAGAAATTCATCTCTGGTATTATTGTGCCATGTGACCTAATGGGAAGCACTTGTCATGAAAGCTGTTAACGTGCAGCATACTGTATGATTGGGACGGAGTCAAAGCAATCCAATATTACAACTGCAGTCATTGTAAAAGGTCTCAGAGCTTAATGTCAAAAAAGGAGGGAGGGTGGTGCATGCTGATCAGCAGATTTGGTAGTGGTCACAAATGTAAATCGCTCCGATCTGTAGGACAGCAACATGCATTATTTTGGCAGCTCGAGAATTAAACATGAGTATGCTAATTCACAATTGTAATTCGTAACATAATTGATCGTGCCTGTAAAAATGGCATGCATTTCATGTAAACTTACCCGTTTATACGAAATATATATTATTATTATTATTGGTGATCAAAAAATTACAGCATTAAGTATACAGCATCAGTGGAAACAGTAGAACAGACAGTACCCAAGCTTACTAAAACATTGAATTAAATCTCACTAATTCTGAAATAACTCTAACATTCCATAGTGAGTAAATTTTGAATCTGTTCTGAAATGATCTTACAGGACATAATAAGCACTGATTAGCATTACTTCAGAACTAAAAGACTTAATTCAGCACATAGTGGTAGTTCTTTCAGCTTAATCTATAGATTGATAATAACAAAGCTGAATAGATTCAGTTCTCATAATCATCACAATCCATGTATATAATCATACCATATATTGAATCAATCCATTAAGTGAAACAGTAAAAAAATTTAAAAGAGTAATTGCCTTCTCCACTGCACTGCACTGCACTTGCAGTAATCATGAAACCATCTACATTTGTTGGCCTAGCAGTCAGCTAAGCAGAGAATGGCACAATATTAATAAGGTAGAAATATTTTTATACATTGAATCTACACAACCCATATTGCACCGCACCAATCAGTGCAAATATGTATTAAATCCATTTGGCTATGACTTTTCAACTCAAGATAATTCCTGTCCAAGCACAGACAAGGTGAAAGACACATATGCATTATAACTTAAGTTCCAACAGAAGGTTCTGTTAGCATTTATAGGTGATTTCCATGTAGTGATAGCGTTCTTTTGTCAAACAGTACTATTCTTCACACGAAAATAGGCTGCATTGGTATTCTGAGATGTGAAGACTTCACTAAATGATACTACGCCGAAAGGCGAAGGCCCTACAAAAAGTAGACTATTAGTGTAAATGACATTGCCCTCCAACTATCCCATCTTGTCATTATGGCAATATTTAGACACAGTCCTCCTGAAACACTAATCATTGCAACCAATATGCTAAGTGTGTCTCAGTCAGATCATATGACGCGGACACCAACATAACTAGCCAGAAAATGAGAATTCCCATCAATCCATAAAACATATGACACGATTCTATTAAAAACTATTAACAGAAAGATTTACCAAGCGAAATTTCAACCAACCTGACGGATAAGTCCAGCCAGAGAAGAGACATATACAAAAAGCGGGCTGCTTACTTCATAGGACTTTTGAATCAACATTAGCTTGCAACTTGTCCAGAAATACCGTCATCATATACAAATCATAGAATGACAGTCAAACACGTACCTTAACTTCATTGACTTTAGAAAGGGTTTCGGCAGCATCAACCGTTAAGTGATTTGTCGAGTACTTCACTTCAGTGTCCCATATCTCCATCGACGTCATTAAACAGCTGTATGAAAATGCCACGTGTCTGGTCACCCACAACGGAAAACTCAGCGAAGTCTTTGAAGTAAAGACAAAGATAAGACCAGGCTGACTGCCGACTATCACCGTCAACATTTCTAACTTTGGTAGGCTGGATTATGCGGAATACTGCAGAGAGAGAGCAGGAGTACCTTCGACTGATGAAAAGACTCTAGAAGATCTGGATTTCACGCGGGGATATTTATGTCTCATGTTACACAAACTTGAAGACTTACGGGCGAAAAACAACAAACCGAGTGCAGAAGCAGGAAAGCTTGGACTTCAAGTGAATAAAGAGAAGACAGAGGCGATGAAGATACCCACACAGCTACAACAACCAGCAACAATCACTATCAATGGGCGAAATTTGGAAGAGGTCATTCCCTTCACTTATCTAAGAAGCATCAACTCAACTGCAGGCGACTGGACAGAGAAGGATGTCAAAATCGGGGTCGGGGAGGAAAAGGTAGACCTTCATTACTCTGAAATCATTTTGGAGGGAGTCTTTCGGACCTAGCCAACAGAGGCAACAAAATTCGGATTCCCAACCCCGATGTGGAGGCATTTATTCTATATGGATCAAGAATTGGTGCATCACGGAAAGCATTTCCAACAAGCTACTTCAGCCTCTCATCAAAAGCTCCCTTCTCTTGCCTCAAGTTGAAAATCAGGTGGCCATGGCCAGAAAGAATCGGCAACAAGAAACTCTAGGAATGATCCAACAAACCAGAACCTGTTGCTCAACAAGTGCCGAATAAAATGGAGGTGGACTGGAAATACACTGGAACCGTTGAATGAAATCGCACGCCAGGCCATTGCCCGAGTAGAACCCAAATGGGGAACCATGAGCGGGTCGTCCGAGGGTGACACGAAGGAGGTCGTATAAGGAGATCAGGGAAGGTGGGCATCCATGAGGCCGGATGAAGAGGACCTCAGAGAAGCGGACAAAATGAAAATGTGCTGTTGAAGACCTATTTTCCACTCAGAATCCTAGGGAACAATAATAATGACAGGCTAATGATGAGTCAACGGTGGCTGAACCATTGAAAGAGCCGGGTTGAAATTCAGGATCACAAATGTGTTGTATAACCCGTAGCCAACAAAAGTCATATGGAATATGAAACAGTTGGTAATTAACTACCTACACTGTCCTGAAAAACTGCGCTTTTACGTAAAATTTAGTTAAGTTACGGTATGCAGGCACTCACAGACGACGGGCATCGGATGAGTGAATCAGATGGACTTAAAACAGAAAACTGCCACAATTTGTTTCTCGCCTAACAGTGAATCTACTTTTAGTTGTACAAAAATGCCATTATCGTGGTGTATACTGTCATCTGAACTGAATCTAAATAAGTCGCTACTGCCTGAAAAACTTCATTCCAGGCTGTTACTCTCCTCAGTCGACACAATGTACTTGCCATTCACGACGATATTCACCACGCTTGTCTTTCAGACACAGTTATCTGGGGGTTGGAAAAATGCTGTCGTAAGCCATATTTCCAAAGGGATCAATGGGAAGTTAGTAACAAAATACTGACCTACCAGCTTGACATACGTCAACACTATGTTTTTCTAGAAAGAACATAGTATTTATTCAAACCGGGACTACTCTGGTTAACAAATTTACTAATACCTAAGCAGAAGATTAGGACACGAATATACAGACTGATGTAGTGTTTGGGTATCTTGATGAGGTATACTTCTTAGACGCCCTCAACAGAACAGAGGAGATCACCTTGGATTCTAGGGGATCAAAGAACTTCGTCAGATAAAATGAACCTCAGCCGTTTCACCGCCAATGATCAATGTGCTTGTCCGTGCGGACTGAAACATAAGGCAGTGAGTATAATTTCCAAAACCCTTAGTAGCGGCTTTGCATTGTATTTATAATCTGTTCATACCATAGCCAAGAAATACCTTTTTGAATAGCTGTGAAAGTGACATTCTCCCTGCGATACTTGGGGAAATGTTAAGAACAGCCTGGCCACCAAGTAAGCTGGGCTGGGCTGATAAGTTAACAGGTAGTGTGGCCAAAGCTCAGATCCACCAGCATTGATGGCCACAAAATAATCGTGAGAGTTACTTTTGGTTGAAACGAACTGCAAATGAGCTCGAAGTCGTACAAGCGGAATAAATAACCGGTTTCTTGAGGACTACACCATGCCTGACTCACCTAGAAAGTCAAAGGTTGAGAGTAAATGGAACACTATCTGGGTGGAAAGCCATTCCCAGTGAAGCCTTACTGAGCACCATTTCTATACCTACGCTGAAACCCTAGAAGCACCCTCACTACCATTCAGAGGATACTTGGGAGAAGATTATGAGTAATGATGATGATAGGTTAGTACTACAAAAGGAATGGGGCGAATTAACTAAATAGTCTTATCTCTAAAGTTTGGAAATCGACTCCGAGAATAGTGCAACAATGAATCTAGATTAGAAATTTTATCCAAAATGCTTCCTGTGACAAAATAGAATCCATTAAAGTTAAGAGGTAAATGGTTTAGGAGGCGCTATCAGGTATAACCTTAAAAATGTTGCTGATTAATTTTCCGTTTAGCTGTAGACAAGGTTTTCCATATACAGTAGGGGCCTGGTATGCCTTTTAAGTCTTTGGGCAAGAACTTTATTGGAGCAATGTGCTCAACTCATTTTTTACGTTATCTTGAATGCTGCTTACAGTGAAACCACTGAATGTATAAGTAATAGCACTAGGAATAGTACACTTTGGGAATACCCTGACTGGTAGTAATGCTATGTGAAACAAGAGTTGGGTGAAACTCACATGCTCGCATAGGTTGGCTAAGGGCTGGTCATCTTAACGGAGTCAAGTGGCATGGGCCCCTTCAGTAGACGCTTTCAATGGTAACCTTCGATGATCATTGAGATATGCGTTGCGAAGGCTAACTCAGGCTACCTCTAACTTACTATCCTTTGTTAGAGAACGCTGAAAGATGTTGCATATCAGTTGCAAATGATTGCTTGCACCTAGAAAATCATTACATGCATGAAAGTATACTCTAAGATATCACCTGGTTGCTGGGTTGCGATACACGAAATTTGCTTATTCAGATTTTCTCGACTTTCCGAACTTTGAATTTCATGTATTGTTTCTGGGACCTATATTTATTAACACTGACACAAAACATGAGGAATAGGAAAACTTGTTACTTTCGTAATATGTATTTCAGTACAAGACTGTTCTGACTTTCACAGCTGATCCTTAGTGTTGGGTGCTTATACCGCGCCGCATGTGAGATTTTGCGTTACTTTTCAGAGTGATGGCTGGAAAGGTTGTTAAGCAACTGGCTGGTAGTGGAACAGGCCAAAGCCTTTCCGACCTAATGACAGCCATGAAATACACCTTATCTGGTTCAGTGGTAGTGAAAGTCATCTGCAAAGCCACCACAGAGGAAATGTGTGCTCCAAAAAAGAAACATTTAGCATGTAATTATGGGAGTGATTTTTCAATAAGTTTCTAGATCTTGTACAATGTACATTTGAGCCTCGACTGTCAGTCCCGGATTTTGCTAACCAAATTGTGAATCGGACTCAGCATAGCAACTTGGTTGTTGCGTTCAAGGCGCTATTAACTATACATCATCTAATGCAGTACGGAAATGAGGTAAAAATACTTAGAATGTTTTTATTGTTAAAACTTTTCTGAGTGCTCTGGCACTAGCGCTGCTTATCTTTTGGTTTGCAAATACTCTCTAATGTGGAATACTAGTTCTTCCAACGAGTCATACTCTGAGAACCGATTCCCACTCGTGGTCTCAGCACCCTCGATTGACCTTTTCAAGAAGGGTTTAGAAGAACACAGAAACTTATTAGAAAAGGATTACTACAGGCTTAAGCCTTCTCTCCTCAATAAATTAGTCTAAATCTTGTCACAGCTGTTTTTTTATCGACATTGTTATCCTACTATGTGTGGCCATTTAATCCCCATGGGAGAATTCTGTAGCAGATTTATGGGGTTTTTTCAAGGGGAAAATGGTGTGTTTCCCCGAAATTTTGGCATCAAGTTGTCCCATAATGTTTTATTTGTGTATTTTTGTGAGTGTCAGCCATCATCATTGATTTTGGTGTGAATTCAGTAAGCTTTAGTAGTTATTTCGGCCGAATCGCTGCTTAAGCAGCAAATATTAAGATACATTTTCCATAACTCCCTACGTGTTTTAGAGTCAACCAAGTCGAAAGTCTCTATTCATCGTTCACCCGCCTTTGACTACCAGCTGTTCGAATTTTAACTATGCCAGCCACCAACCATAAGATTAGTAAACTTGACGATAACCTTATTTTTCCTAAGAACTTTAATGAAGTTTCCTAGTTAAACGTATTAAATGATATAATAACTAGACAAAACTAGGAAACGAGATAGCGATTTAATTATGGTAAATTATGGTCACGAAGAGATGTGCCAACCAAAATCTTATAGTTTGTGGGGGTGGTTGGGGTGCTGTCTGGACACCCAAACCGAATCAGGCACTTGTCTTAATGAACCCCTCCCTCCTGAACCTTTAACTTGAAGTCTCATAAGCATGGCGGAAGGGCAGCCTTAGAAACAAAAGTTTTCTTTGATCGTCTTTGACCGAAACAGGTCTGGTGACACGTGAAGGCGGCGAATAGGACTTACATGGCAGAGTCTATGAACTTGCGGCGACATAAGGGAATTTTGAGAGGAATGCTGGAGTCTACTCTCACTCAGCGGTAACAAGTGGGGGATTGAATAGTAAACTAATTATATACGTGCATGGCATTCCTAATCAGTGGTATAACTGGTAGCTTCGAGGGCCCCTGGGTTGAGTTACTTGTGGTGGTAAATAAAGAAATGCATTACTTGAGTTTCACATAATCTGGTCAATATTTGAATGCTTTTCGCTTAATAGACTGTGGTTTTAGTTATTGTAGCACTTAGTAATTGATGACAGATCCTTTTATGACACTATCTTATAAATTCTCCTTACTATTTCCAAATTCAAATGATAAAAGGTAGTAAGCTTCTGTAGTCAGTGTTAGTCTTTAAAATAATTTTCTCAGTAGTCATCTAATATTCCTTTAAAAGTGGCCACCAACAGAGCAGTGAGGAGTTCCAGTTGTTGGCCATCCTATGTAGGAATCTAAATTCTACAGGTATTTTGTTTGACTGCGGTTTGAATACCAATTTATTGGTGACCTTTCAATGGTTTTCTAAAAGAGAGAAAAGACTACAAAGGTCAATACTCAAATCATTTAAGTATACGATACTTCAAATTAAGTCCCCTTCGGTGTGACAGTGAGAGGAGGTTTTAAGTTATACAAGTGATTAGGAATCGTTCTTTTTTTTCACCATTCTGTAGTTCTCTAATAAGTAATCCATATGTTTGCATTTGTACTTTAAAAAAATTTTATTCCTTTACGTTCCCAGTGGAACATAGGGCTTCAAGCTAGAGGCTCCAAGTTCCGATAGCAGTGGAATTTATTTTCACGGGATGGGGTTGCTAGCCTCGTGCCCAAACTTCCCACCAGTTTTATTATTGGCCTATTGAGGTAAAGGAGTGCGTCGGTGGCCGGACCACATGAGGCGTGGTCGGCAGGCCACGCATTTTGTGGTGGACGCATTTGCGTTTGTGCTGTCCGTAAGTAATTAGTTGTTCATGGTTATTTATTCAGCATAGTAAAAAAATTTCACGTGCTTGTAAGGTTGAATGTGGAAGCCTAGGTTCAGAATGTGTATTACACACTTATCGGACAAGATGTTAGAAAAAAATTCATTTATCATTCATGTCCTTGTAAATTGATCTTTGTTGTTCACACGTCAGTTTTATTTTATATTTAAAAATGGAGTAGTAGTAGTAGTCGGAATGACCAGGCTAAATCATTCTTAATATTATGATGAGTGAATCAGACAGTGCCACCAGTTATCATGTACACATTTTCATTGAGTATAGTTCCAATACACCTGTTTATTCATTCCCCACCCAGTTTGTATGTGCGTCGGTGGCACAGCAGTAGAATACTCACCAACCACGCAGGTGGTTCGAGGTTCAATCCCCGGCCACTCACGCACTCCTTAACCTCGCTAAGCCGTTAACAAGACTGGTAAAGAGGAAAAGTTGGGCATATGAGGCTGGCAACCCCATCTCGTAGAAAATAAACTCCAATGCTTACTGGAACTTCAAGCCCCTAGCTTGAAGCCTTATTTTCCACTAGGAATGTAAAGGAATAAAAAAACCTAATTTGTATAACTTATACATACAAAAAGTTATTTTTTATTGAAACACAAACTTTGCACATTATTTTCACCAAAAGATGCGCCACACAAAATTACACAATTTCCGCAAGGTCTGGAATACTTCCCGGACACCCAGACCAAAACATATGTTTGTCTTGAGGAGCTACCCCACGAGTCTTTGATTTGAATTTCGATCCTAATACAAGGCAGTTGTGAAGCGTCAGCAATTGCGTTTCCATGGTTTCCGGTGCCTAAAACAGCTGCATACGCCATCCGATCCTTTTGGATTCTGGAGCTCATGTTCACCATAGGTTTGGAATCAGGGTTTTCTAGTTCCTCTAGGTAGACATATCCACCAGTCCAATTATAAGCGCCGGACGTTCGCATTTGGACAATATAGAACAACACTGGATCATTGCCGCTGGTAGTTTATGCCTCCTCCTCTTCAAGTTGTAGTTATGGTTACCGAACCTCGCTGCCTTTACATCGACTTTGTTAACATTATCGCAGTTATCTTTTTCAATAAACTGTCACAAAGTTTTCGTCAGCTCGTTCTGTGTTTCTTATCATCATGATATTGCACAAAGCCCAAACTGACAGGAATGTTGCTTATCGATCCACTGTTAAAGTACAAATTATGGTTTTAATAGTCTATAGTCTAATTTTTATTTTTATTTTTTTAAATGTTTTGTTCCTTTGCGTTCCGAGTGGAACATAGAAGCTTCAAGCTAGCGCTCTGAAGTTTCAGTAGCAGTGATGTTTTGTTTTATTTACTGGATGGGGTTTTCAGCCTGACACCCAACCTTCCCTCTTTACCGCCGGTTAAGAAAGGTAAAGTAGTGCGTCGACCCGGGGGTCGAACCTAGGACCGTTTGCCTGGTTGACTAGTGTTCTACTACTGAATCACCGATCCATATATAGTCTGTTACTAGTTTATTTATCAGATATATCACAGTATAAAACAGTATATACTGAAGGCATTGTGTTTAAAAGATTGCCAAGCAAATACTTCTTTCTTGTTGTACAATATCGAATAAAAAGACTCAAATCGATTTTTACCAGGAAGAGAGATTTTTAAATAGTTGATTATTATGTTAATATTCATTCCCTGGGCCCCTAGTATTTGTTAGACAGGGCTTTACCAGCACATTACTCACTATTTCACTCTGTTTTCTGCATTATTGATATAAGTATGAAACTTGCGCACTGTGGTAGAGTATAACTCCATAATAGATAAGATTTCATTTTGATAAATCACACAGTGTTGTTGTACAGTAATATTAACTGATGACGTTTCGAGCACAAATTATTGCTCATAATCAAATAAAGTCACTCACTCACATAACTTCTGCTTCATTTATATACATGTGTGGAATCGATTAGATATTGGAATAAAATTCAATATGAGATAATGTACATTCAGAAATAATAGTACGAGTGTTATTAATCCATTACAATTAGATGGGAAATAAGACGAGTGTTTTTATAGTCAAAATAAGTAACTTGTTAGGATGTTATAATGTACATGAATTGAAATAGAATTTTAAGATTATTTGTTATCCTCCTCTGATCTGACTGGTGGTAATATCTCCCATATCCCTGGTATTTGCATTGAGTCACTCCTATTGCGTGTGTTGGATGAAGACTAGATGAACCAGGATTCAGTAAACAACCTCTCTCTCTCCACCTACCTAGATTACTCTTTAGAATTTTAACCCTCTCCCACCCTTTTGTGTGGTTGTTTGTTAATGCGTGAAGTGCAATAGCTGAGCTTTTTTTCTAAATTACTTATCTTTTCAGGGTCAACCATTCTAACCTTAGCTAATTTCTTATGTTCTGATAATCTGACTATCCCTGACCTACTAGTTTGACCTATGTAGTTGACGTCACTCACAGTCATTGCAGGACATTTTGTAAATTATATTATTTTGTTTAATTGGTTCCACCGGGTCTTTCAACCTACAAAGTTTGTCTCTGAGTGAGTTTGTGGGTTTGAATGCCACCCTAATTCCTGTTTCCTGCAGCCGTTTTATAGCTACTTCCCCGACTGACCATAAACTGACACCTCTTCTTCACACAATCTCCTCTATGTCACCCTTGGAGTGAAATCCGATTCTCCCTTGTTCCGATTTGGCTTCTAATCAAGGATTTGCTTAGTGTCACTCAACGGTCTCCTCAGCATATATCCACTCCTTCTGCATACATGTGGGATAATAATATGTTCTTGGTTGGTTTGCTGCTTGCCAAAGTCCCTTGTTGCTTATATCCTTTCCAGTTCTAAGCCCGGAAAAGTAGTGGAAGTTGTGTGTGCAGGATTAACCACCTTAACCTTGGAAAATCGATCCGGTTACTACAGAAATTTCAAAGCATATATATGTATATATATTTCTAGGAAGGATTGGATAAGAATGTTTATATCTCTCTCTAGTGTTCTAATCGACCTTTAGGTTTTTAAACCAATAATGTTTGTCTCACACTCAGTTTTTTCTTCAAAGCGATTTTACTCTCTTCCAAATAAAAGATCAAATGTAAGGAATATGGTGAATAACTTGTTTGCTCTCCATTAATTTGAAGGTTTACCAATAGAGAGATGGGGTTTTGTAAAAGTCGCTCATGTGTGTGTGTGTTGATTGGCAGGGATTTGATTGATTCTTGATTTAATCGCGAAATGAATTCATATCTCTGCCGACCAAGACGTGAAAGTTACAAGGCTAGTGAGCTCATAGACCATTGAGCCACTGGGACCCGATCCAATGGCCAGTCCAGGAATTCTAACTTCTGCCAATTCACGACATAGCGCGACCATTTCGCAATATCTTCTTCTTCGATGAGTTACTGCCTCATCTTCAACCTGCTGTACCCTACTGTGGTCACGGCTTCCCACTAGAACCTCAGGTTAACTGCCTGAATAGGACCAATCACTAGTGAGCATCAGATGTGTACTGATGAAGAGTCCCAAACTAGGCTGACGAAACAGCTGTCCAGTACTCCCTATTGGTTTTCCAGTAGTTCTCTAACTGATGTCAGCTGCTCATGATGAAATCCTCCATGCAATCAAACAAAATCCCTCCCTACAAAACCAATACTTGAAAACTTGAAAGTTAATTGAGTGTTGGCTAATGACTGATTACCACGGGATGAAGTTGTGTGATCAGCGTGGTTCACCAAGTTGGGTGTTGATGACAAACACTCACTGATGACATCGGCTGATGGTCGTGCTGTATGTGCAGGATTAGCAGAAGTTAGAATTCGCGGACCGTCCATTGAATTACATCTCAGTGGCTGGATGGGTACTGGGATCGCCTCGTAACCTGATGGTCCTGGTTTCAATCCCTGGTGAGGTCATATTTAGCTACTGCTGAAGAGTCCCAAACCAGAATCAGACAACTGTTCAATAATCCCTTTTGATTTTCAGCGGTTCTCTAACTACAGGATTTCATCATGAGCTGAAAATGGTTAAAAAACATCATTGGAAAACCAGCAGGGAATACTGAAAAGCTGTTTCGTCCTAGTTTGGGGTTCTTTATCGGTATGCACCCATCGCCATGGTTCGAACCCAGGATCTTCCGGTCACAAGGCCAGTTCGTAGACCACTCAGCTACTGGGACCCGATCCAATGACCAGTTCGTGAGTTCCAGTTCCTGCCCATTCACGATATAGCGTGACTGGCACTAGCCAATATCATCTCTGGCGAGTATTTGTCCTCATACCCAACCTGCTGCACTTCACTGGTTACGATTTCCCACTAGAACCCAGGTAACTACCTACCTGCATGAATAGGGTCAGTCACTAGTGAGCGTCGGATTGATATTCAACTGTTGGTTTGCAGCAGGGATTTTATTGGTTTCAGAATTTCATCATGGGCAGCAGCAGGAAGTCTTGGGACAGCTGTTTCGTCAGCCTGGTTCGGGACTCTTCATCTGTGTGCACCCACTCCGTGTATAAACTTAATCTGTTAGTTGATTAACAGTTTGTAGAGAAGACTACGTTGAAACATTTCCCATAGTAAAAAAAAGCTTATTTTATTTATACTGTTATCTACACTGTAGTTACTTTACTGCCTTTTTCTATGCATACATGCATAGCTGCAAATAAATTCTAATTATCCTTTTCCTTATGTTTATTTCAGAGATTTTCACAATACATCGCATCGAATAATTGTCATTTCTATGTCCCAAATGTCCATGATCGCAACACATTTCAATGTAAGATGGTGTATCTTTGTGTATCTGCATTTTAAAAAAAAATTGTATCACTTGTTGCTGAAATATTTCAACTGACTAATAATCAACTGAGTTTTCAATGTGTAGAATGTTTGTTTGCACAGAAACAGGGTAGTTCAAGTTGCCACACTTCCGCACAGAGCAGAGCATACAAAGGTAGAGAAGAGAGTCCAAGTTTGCTGAAGAAACATATAGAGATGCATAGAAATGGACCTAGGAGATAGATTTCAATGCGTGTTCACAGTATATGTGCGACATGGTAAACGATTATGTAAAACTATATCACTAAAAATAAACTCAAACCATTGGTTCTTAGTGTATGAAAGAACTCAATCAAACAGTCTACGCCCCTCTGTCTCTATGTGGCCCTAACAGTCAGCAACAATCTGATGGATGGATTGATTTCATGTTTTAATTTAAACAATCGAAACTCTTTTTTAACTGCGATTCGCCCCTGTAAAATGTAAGATGATGCTGCAGGATTGGACTTCACCAACCCCTAGATTCGGTCGGTCGGTCGGTTTTCGACATAGAACTTTGCACATATGTGCGGCAGTTCAAGTCGCCACACTCCCTTCATGTAGCACACAAAGCAAGAGAAGAAAGTAGAAAAAATGCATATTGGAGACAGTAAACAGAGGTGTGAGACAAAAGGAATAGGAATAACGGAGAACAAAACAGTTTAATTGGGAATCATAAGTCACAAGGAGTGGATGCATCTGCGCCACTGAGAACGATTTTGAGCCATGTCACCAATTGTTTCCAACCATTGGTTTTTACCATCCCGAGGGCCCCAACCAGGAAGTCTACATCTTCCTACGTGGCTTAGATTAACTGTTGTGGATTTCATTGATTGGTGCCATGTTTTGGTTTGACCACCGCTAGCTCTTTTCCAGCCTGACCCTATATCAGCTAACATTGCCCGTCGAGGAAGGCGATGGCTAGGCATGCGCAACACATGTCCTAATCATCTCAGTCGAGGTAGCTTGACAGCCTCGTCTATTCATTTCCCCTCCCGCCTACCTAGCACTCGATCGATGCCTAACCTCATTATTGCTCACCTTGTTATACCACCAACTGACACAGGAGGTAGAACGCAGGCACCTATGTTCAATGACAGCTAATCTTTTCATATCTTCCACTCTCAATGGCCAGGTCTCCCAGCCATAAAGGAGGAAGGAGCGGACTACTGAGCAGTACACTCGTCCTTTGGTCGATAGCCAGCCGGATATCACGTCTACTATGCCAGAGACGGCGTAAACTGGCATATGCGAAACTAGCCCTCTGTATTCGTGCTGAGATTTCGTCGGAGATCAACCCGTTGGCGTTGACTGATGGTACTTCCCAAATAAGTGAAGCGGTCAACGTGCTCTACCACTTCACTTCCTATTTTCAATCTAGGGGTCGGTGAAGTCCAATCCTGCAGCATCATCTTACATTTTACAAGGGCGAATCGCTTGCCAAACATACGAAGATTGTTGCTCAAGGTGTTCAGTAGAGTCTGCATTTTGTCAGCGTCCTCGCCTAGAAGGACTATATCGTCTGCATATTCTAAGTCGACGAGATTATTCCCTGGTAGCAAGTCAATCCTTGAGCCGCTGAAGTGAGTTAGGGTTAAGTTCATTATTACATCTATGATGAAGTTTAATAGGAATGGGGATTGTTCATTTCCTCTCTCTCTCTGTCTTTGATGTCAAATCTATCTCTCTGCTATTTATTATTTTTATGCCTACGAACGTTTCTTTATTCACTACTGATAAATCGTATCAGTAGCACACGTCACAATATATCAAGTGTTTTTAAGAGTAGAAAGGAGAGAATGTGTCATCGTGATATATGTCCACTGTAACTACTTCAAGGAGCATGAAATAAACGTCAGTCTGTGGTAAATGACTGCAACAAGGCAGTCATACTGTGCTAATTGGCAAATCATACGTTGACTAATATTTCTAGGTCAGGTGTCGTGTTGGTAGAGCGCGTTGACCACTTCACTTATTTGGGAAGTTGAATCAGCTAACGCCAGCTAGGTTGATCGCTGACGAAATTTCAGCACGAATACAGAGGGCTAGGTTCGCATTCGCCAGTTTTCGCCGTCTCTGGCGTAGACGCGATATCCGACTATCGACCAAAGGGCGTGTGTACTGCTCAACAGTCCGCTCCGTCCTCCTTTATGGCTGTGAGACCTGGCCATTGAGAGCAGAAGACATGAAAAGATTAGCTGTGTTCGATCATAGGTGTCTGCGTTCTATCTCCCGCGTGAAGTGGTATAATAAGGTGAGCAATATTGAGGTTAGGCGTCGAGTGCTAGGTAAGGCGGGGAAATCAATCGACGAGACTGTGAAATTACTTCGACTGAGATGGTTAGGACATGTGCTACGTATGCCTAGCCATCGCCTTCCTCGACGGGCAATGTTAGCTGATATAGGGTCAGGCTGGAAAAGAGCTAGCGGTGGTCAAACCAAAACATGGCACCAATCAATGAAATCCACAACAGTTAATCTAAGCCACGTAGGAAGATGTAGACTTCCTGGTTGGGGCCCTCGGGACGGTAAAAACCAATGGTTGGAAATAATTGGTGACATGGCTCAAAATCGTTCTCAGTGGCGCAGATGCATCCACTCCTTGTGACTTATGATTTCCAATGAAACTGTTTTGTTCTCCGTTATTCCTATTCCTTTTGTCTCACACCTCTGTTTACTGTCTCCAATATGCATTTTTTCTACTTTCTTCTCTTGCTTTGTGTGCTACATGAAGGGAGTGTGGCGACTTGAACTGCCGCACATATGTGCAAAGTTCTATGTCGAAAACCGACCGACCGACCGAATCCTATATCAGTTAACATTGTCGTAGTAAACCCGATCCACAATCAGACTTCCGGATTGGGGCCCTCGGGACTCTAAGAATCAATGGCTGGAGACAGACAATAGGTGACATGGCTCAAAATCGTTGTCAATGACTTACGCAGATGTATTCAGTCTCTTGTGTAATCTTTCATATTCCTTCCTACCATTACTCATTCTGTTTCACTTTTATACTTGTCAAAACTCTATTGATTCTCTTCACTCATTTCCTTGTCTACCTTTGTGTGCTATTTAGAACGTGGCAACTCGAACTGCTGCACTTCGGTGCAGCCAAGTTCTATGTTGAATCCAGACAGACAGACAGACAATCAACTCATTGATACACTTTCTCCTTGCTTAGCCAATACTCTACGTGCAACCTCAATATTACTACGTGTTCAGTTGATTAGTTTGAAAAAAAAAGAAAGAATAAACATATTTGGAGGATAATACGAGCTGATGTTTTATGTCGTGGATTTTTGTCAACTACTGACTAACTGACTGACTGGTTTCAACATAGAGAACTTTGCACAGATGTGCAGCAGTTCGAGTTGCCACACTCCCTCCATGTAGTACACAAAGCAAGAGAAGACAGATGATAAACAAAAGTGTGAGGCATAAAAGAATAGTAATATGGAAGAACAATAGAATTTTATTGGATATTATAAATCACAAAGAGCGAATTCATCTGCACCAGTCATTGACAACGACGATTTTGAGCCATATCACCAATTGTCTACAGCCTTCATTGGTTCTTACCATCCCGAGGACCACAACCAGCCAGTCAGGAAGCTAGTGTACACATCCCTACTTGACTGGGTGGCTGGCTTAAACTAACTGTTGTGGATTTCACTGACTGATGATGAAGCCATGTTTTCGTTTGACCGTCACTAACACTAACTCTTTTCTAACCTAATCCATCCTATATCAGCTAACATTTCCTGTCAAGGAAGGTGGTGGCTTAGAATGCGTCATATCTATCTCAATAGGTGTAACTTCACAACCTTGTCGATTGATATCCCCTCCCACCTACCTAACACTCGACCGATGCGTAAACTCAACATAACTCACCCTATTATACCACCACCTAACACGGGTATAGAACTCAGACACCTATGTTCAAAGACATCTAACCGGCCTTTTCAAATCTTCCACTCGCAATGGTCACGTCACACTAGCAACCATAAAGGAGGATAAAGCGAAGTAACTGCTGAGCAGCTAGCCAGCCGGATGTCACGTATGCTAAGCCACACATGGCGTAAGTTTGTGCGAAACGAGCCTTCTGTATATCAGTGCTGAGATTCCGTTAGCGATCAACCCGCTGGCGTTGGTTGATGCAACTCCCCAATTGTGTGAATTGGTCAACACGCTCCACCAACCATTTCACTTCGTCCTCTCTTTCTTTGAGCTCGAAGTGAGTCAATGTAGTCCACTCCAGTCCTGTAGTATCATCTTACATTTGACAGCAGGAAGGAATCGCACGCTTGTCAACTACTGCCATACAACCTAAATAATATCAAAATATCAAAGTTACAAAATATCTGACTGAACATACTTTTCTCACTATAACGTTGAGTTACTATATAGATAGACAGTTGCAACCAAAGTAATTCCAAAAATAATGTAAGTAGACAAATTATTCATCGTTAAAAGGTCAGCTATTTATATAGTATGATTCGACAAGTGCGGGGATGGGGTTGGGGGTGAGTAGAGATCAGATTTTGCTTTTATAAACAAGGATAGAATAGAGACAGAGACAGAATACAAGATCGAACAACAGAGTAAATGTATTCATATGAACTGTGATCAAGATTTCACCGAATAGTTTCAAAGTATAATTGGGCGCCGAGTGAGAAGTAAAAATTAAAATCTCAGCGAAATTGAAATGAGTCATTCCAACGTTTTCCTGAAGAAGTTCGAACTAATTTGCCGAACTCAGGAAACGTTGGAATTACTCATTTCAATTTGGCTGAGATTTTACGAATATAATTTTTACAAGATTAAATTTATGTGTGGATAGATAATGGTGAGAAGTTCAAAAGGGTGGGGCACAGATGAACAGTTAAGTAAATTTGGAAACTTAATAGCACGTATAACTCAGTCATTGAAAATCAAAATCTTATGCAACAGAACAAAACAATT